CGACGCTGCACACCCACGGCCCGGGCGGCACCGCCGCGCCGCGCTGTAATTTCCTCTTTTCTACCCAGATTTGTTGTTGATGTTTTTTTTTTTTTTTTTTTTTTCCTGCACGCACAGATGAGTCGCTCAGGTGGACGCGGACGCGGACCGGGCCCCAGAGCTGAGATGGCTCGCACTTGGTTCTGCCGCGCCCGGCACTGCGCGGCCTCGTCCCCCGCGGCGCAGCTCTTCTTGGCTCCCTTGTGGAGGAGGCCGTGTCCTCCGCCCGTAGCCGCACCCTAGAGAGCTGGCCACCTGGGGGGCTGGCCACCTGGTGGGGAGAGCTGGCCAAGGGGTTTGTGGTGTGATGCCTCTTGGACGACTTGTTCAAGAGTCTTTTTTTTTTTTTTTTTTTTGGCGGAACCAGGGATTGAACTCAGGCGCTTCAGTTTGCCGGGCAAGCGTTTATTTCAAGAGTCTCTTAACAGATCTTTGGAAGGTCCTAGGTCAGGTTGGCCCCAGGCACCTCTTCTGCATTGTGTCCCGCACCGTCCTGCGCAAGCACAGCTTCGCATGGGGTGGGGACCATACGTAGTATGGTCTGTCTCGAATTGCCGTCGTCTCCGTCTCTGTCAGTGTGCCAGTGTGAATCAAGGCAGGGCAGGAGCAGCGTGGCATGCGGACCCTGTTGACCCTTGTTATCTGTGTCCACCAGGCCGCCTTCGGCCTTGAGCTCCAGCCCGTGAAAGAACTACTGTGTGTTCTCGGCCTGCCACGCTCACTGGGGATTCTGCTGACCAGAATTTTATTCTCTTTTTTCCTTGGCCAGTGATCAGGTTTAGATAGAGTCCCTCTCTCTTTAGTAACCTTTTTTGCGCTAGAATACACCCACAAGCCAGAAGGATAGGGACCCCCATCACAGGTGTGCAGGCTCCGGTGCCTTCCCACTGAGTGGCCGCCCCTCAGCTGACCCTAGTTCTGTGGCTCCCCCTCTGGCTGGGAGCTTCCCTTCAGTTAGTTTTCCCGCCGCCGTTTTTCACGGTCTACTTCTTCTACATTTAATTTGTAGCGTTTTGTATTATTATTCAAAAATTAGAGTTAAGGATAACAATGCTGGCCTCAGGAAGCAAAATTCACCATACTTTGCAACCAAAGCAGTACTACTCATACTTTGCTTCTTACCTTTGAGTAATTCTAGCTTATTATTATGATTACCTTGTATTGAAAATAGAGACATGGCTCCAGTGTAGGAATGTAGAAACAGAAAGAGGCATAGAGATGCTCTGAGTGGATGCCCTGATTCGGTGCTTACTGTGCTGACAGAGAAGAGGAGGAGCCCAAGGCAGATGACACAGACGGGCAGGCTCCCTACGGAACCTTGGCTGTCGGCCAGCGCGTGTGCAGTGGAAATACAAAGTGATCCCGAGATGTGCTTAAGATTTTCTAGTAACCACGTTTAAAAAGTAGAGGTGACATTTATTTTAATAACTTTCTTTATTCAACTAGATACGTTAAAAATATTGTCACTTCTACATGTAATTAATACATACATTGGAATGTCTTACATCATTTTCTACTAAATCTTCACAGTCTAGTTTGTATTTTATACCAAAATAAACTGCACCTGGGGGCAGGCCATACCTTAAGTGCTAAGTAGCCACTTTGGCTAAGGGTGATTTACTTATTGCATAACACAGATGCTTTGTACGCACATGTGCTCATGCGTGTGTGTGTTTGTGCGCACGCGCACGTGCGTGCACGCCCATAGAAAAAGACAAAGTGGAGGGCTTGGTGCTCCAGTGGTCAAGAGAGGCACTTTCAAGAGAGTGGTGACAGTTGAAGCATTAAAGCAGCCTCAGAGGGCCATTCAGTCCAGGCGGAGTAAACATGTCTAACCCGAGATCAGCAGTGACCCGAGTCACAAGGTGAGCCAGTGGTGAGATGTTGGAAGCTGCCGGAAGAGCTTCAGCTTCAGCTTTTCCTCCTGTTACTGTGTAACTTGGAATGGAGCACAGCGAGTTCCTGCGACTCCAACTATAAATAGACAAAAGACTGGGTAGGGACCGGCTTGTAGAATCCAAGGCGGGTGCTGACCATGAAAATGCCTCTTCCAAGAGCATTCATAAATAAGGTGTGATGTCCTTAGAGCTGAAGAGCAACCCGGGAACCCTGAAGCACCTGAGACAAAACATCTTTCTCACATAAGTTGGTCATCGTCTGCAAAAGGAGATTTAGGGCCTAAACAGTTCAGAGTCCACCCTGACTGCTCTGTGGGGCAGACTTTAGTCTTACGTTTCATAGCCCTGGGGTTGTATCCAGTCTCCTCTGTTACACAGAATATGAGGGGAGTGGGCTTCTGTTGCCAGGGAGGAAGCCGAGGCGGGCAGCATGGAAGTTTGAGCTTTGGTCTTTTGGCCTCATGAAGGTACCTGTGTGTTGTAAAGCGTAAGCCTCACCGTGAACTCGGGTCTGTCTCACTTGTCCTCCTCATGCAGACCGGCCAGGGGAGACATGGAGAGCCTGGGCAATGACAAAGGTCCGTGTACCGCAGAGCGGCAGACTGTGCTTGGGCTCCAGCCCCATTGATGGAGCATTCCTTTTGAGCTGTCAGTTCAACCCAGATGTATTGTGAGGTCCCTAAGAGGTGGTCCTTTGAGGCGGTCCCAGGCTTTCAGATTGATCGTGAAACAGGCAAAGTCCCCTCTTCCTTCACATTTGACACAGATAGAAGTGACAAAGATGAGGTGCACAGAGGTTAAGGACCTGCCTGAGGTGCCCAGTGACTGAGTGGCAGAGCTGGACTCAGAGTTAAATGGCCCGGCTCAGAGCCACAGCACCAAGAGCCTCCCTGGGCTTCTCAGAGACCAGACTGGGAAAGGTCCCTGGTAGCACTAGGGTCAATGAAGGGCTGTTGCAGGCAAATGTGTTTCTGTGGAGCCATTGAAAACTCCCAGTTGTCTCAAAGTTCTCCCCGGAGTTTGCACCCCACACGTGTTGGGGGAGGGCCTCCATGCAGGACTGTCCTCTGTGTTAAGTACTCAGCCCCTCTTTAAAACAACATGAAACGTGTCGTTCTTTCTGGGCAAGTTCTGTGTCAGAGAAAGCTGGCTCAGCACTTCTCATGGGCATAACCAGTCTGCACCCAGAGGATGAATCTCCCCAGCACAGGGGCAGGGACCACTGGCTCTGACCTCTGCCCCTCCCTGGCTCTTGGGCTAGTTCTGCACATTGAGGGTGCAGAGATGCTGATCTCGTGGCCCCTGAAAGCATCCTGCTTGGGCACAGAACCCAGCCCTGTTCTTCAGAGGAAGCTGATGCCTGGCGAGCGTGCTGAGCCTTTGGTCGGTGCAGCCATCCCCAGGGAAGTGCAGTGCTGTTAATAGGGGCCAAGCTGTGTAAAATCCTCCCCAGGACTTCGGTGCCACCCTGCCATTGGGAACTGTGGTCTTGAATGTGGCACTTAAGCTTCTGAGCGTCTCTTTCTGTCTCCCTGACACATAGGTGTTTACAGGTAAGAGGCCTTCAGTGGCCACCTTCCCCCAGCTCCTCATTTCCTCAAGATGAGTGTGGTGACACCCTCGCTAGTCTGCTCGGATTCTTGGGAGAAGCAAATGCAAACATGAGGGGACATTTTTATAACTGTTGTTAATGTCCTTGGACTTACCTTGTTGGTGTTTACAGAGGTGGCATCGGGTCCTGAGTGTGCCTGACACCTGTGGTAGAACGGCCCTTTCCTCTGTGTGAAGCTAAGGGCATATACCTAGGAAAGGCTTGAGTCCACGGACATTGTGTCCCCAGCCCATGAGTTCTGCAGCCACTGCGCCCTTGAAGCTCTGGCCTGGGAATTATTTGTTATTGTAGATGTTTAGGGAATTATTTGTACATTGCAGATGTTTAACAGCGCCCTGGCCTCCACCCATCCCCTTGTGCTGATCAAAAAAGTCTCTAGATAGCGACAGACAGCCTTGTGCCCAGCTGAGAAGCACTGGCCTACGGCTGTGTAGCTGGAGTCCGCGGGGATCTGTGTAATCTGGAGCTGGACACCTGGCAAAGGGGAGACCTGGCTGCAAGGCTGAGCAGCCGAGTCTAGCACGGAAAGGCTGCATGCTTTTAGGTCTCTCTGCTGCTGCTGCTGCTGCTGCTGCTGCTGCTGCTGCTGCTGCTGCTGCTGCTGCTGCTGCTGCTGTCGCTCCCCCAGGCAGCAGCAGGGAGCTGGCCACCCTCATAATCACCTGTTGTTCCATCCCCCCGCATCTGTCCATTCCCCAAACACCCCTCAGAGCGTATCGTTGAAGACTGGCTGAGATCAAGGCACGGTGCAGGATCCTGTCCTGGGAAATGAGGGCAGGAAGAGGCTGCCCCTGAATCCAGTGAGGAGCCCTCGGCAGGAGGTGAACCGGAGGGCAGCATACGGTGAAGCCTCTGACCTCTCCTCCTGCCAGCCTTGCAAGGGTTCTCTTCTCCTCTTGATGGTGCATTTTTATTTCACACTGGCAGATCAGATGGTAGAGCACACAGAAGTGCCTCAGATTCTTCCCTTATACATTTGACCTGGCTCAGTGTGTGGCCAAATGACATTAAGAAAGCTTCTGACATTCAGCCCTTCAGGGAATCCACCAAAGTTTTCCCCATCCTCCCTGGCTGTGAAGCCCATGAAGTCCTTTCTGAGCTGGGAAGCATAAAGGTTCCACCCCTGCCCTGCACACGGGCTGGCACTGGCTGCTTGGCTGGGAATTTATCTCCTCCATCTGTTTGGGTGGGGTTCTCAGATCCATGGCATCCTGTAATACTAAGAGACTTGTTTAAAAATAAACTGCAAAGATTTCCTGCCTTAGAAGCAGTATTCTTCGGGGCTTAATGTGTTTTTGTACTTGAGGATTTGGCCCTTTGTACTGGAGACAGCAGCGTTGCTGGGGGGGGGGGGTGATGTGGCAGGTGTTCACAGCAAGGGGCGGCCTTGTGGGAGCCAAGCCTTTCTGCCGGAGACTCTGTCACCTGTGCCCGGGCAGTCTTATAAGAGTAAACCTGGGTCCTTTTGACCAGCAGGACACTGGAGACCTGTTGTTCTGTGGTTTGTGCTGTTTCATCACCCAATTCATTGATCAGTCTCTAGGCTGGACACAGGGCAGGTCTGGGCCAGGACGGATGTTCCTACTGGGGTTTGAATGTGGTTTGTCTGACTGTGTCTTGGTCCTCCGTGAAGTGGCGTTCAGAGGGGGTGACATTTATTTGGGACCAGAGCTGAGCCTTCTGAATGGTTTAATGCTTTTCTCGCGGCTATCATGAGAATTCAGCACCTTTTCTCCCTCCATGTAGAGTGGTGAAGAAAATAAAATGGGGTCATCCGGAAGAGGGTACAGGGAGGGTACTGGCCAGGAGAGGCCCAGAAACCCAGGGGAAGGGCGAGCCCAGCAGAGGCGGTGACCTCGCTGTGCATGCTCCCGCTGGTGCTCCTGGTCCCCGTGTGCTGGTTGTCTGTCTGCGCCGTCCTGCTCAAGCTGTCTTTCCTCCGGAAGATCACATCGTCTGACTGCATTTGCTCCTCCTCTGTGACTAGGATTACTAACAACGTCAGGGAAGGAGACAGGCCAGGTTCTTCTGAGGTCGAGGTTTGAGTTAGGAGCTGATTGCCATAGAAGTTTAGCTGTCCCTGGGCTTGTTGAGTCTGCTGGGAACCAGTCTTCCTCGGGCCCGCTCCAGTCGGACTGGAGACCAGCCAGAATTTGAGTGCAGCACTGAGGATGAGCCGTGTGCTATTTCCAACCCTTGAAATTCCGGCACACTCTCTTGGTCTACCTTGTGAAGCCACCAGTCATCTGACGGCGCCTCTGTTCTATGCCCACACGGCTTGATGTTGTTTTGTGCCTGTCTGGAGTCATCTCCTACACCACCTAAGTCCACACTCCCTGCCCGTGCCCCGCCCAATAGGGGGCAGCTCTGCTCCTGCACTCAGCCAGGGAAGGAGGGCAGTGTCTGGCCTCTGGCCGGGCCTGCTGCAGGCTGTGCCTCGTCATGCTGCGTCCCTTCTTCCATCCTTCATCTTCTCCCACCAAGCTGACGTGATTTGTTCTTCCATTCCTTGGAGAATCACTAAGTCAAGGACCTGCCCAGCAGAGAAGCAGCCAGACTCAGAAAGCACGTCGTCAGCTCTCGGTGCCGTGGGTTCCCCCTCTGAGTGTGGAAGGTACTGGAGGAATATTCTGCTGGGTTCCATGACTCAGGCCCTGAGTTTGCCACCTGAGGAGCAGCCCTCACACCCTGCAGGTGATGTCCTGTGTGGGCACTGCCACCTGCAGCACCTCCAGCAGCCTCCTTTGCTGTTTTGAAAAATTGGGCTATTTTCCCAGAAACTTCGATGTTGGCATTGGGGGTGCTGGCATTGGGAGCCCCAGGCTGCGTCTCTGTGTGGAGGAGACAGGACCGGGGACTGCGAGAGGCAGGAGCAGGGTGGATGGCACTGACCACAGGGTGAGTGGCCGGGGCATCCACACCAGCAGAACCCACCCTGTGCATGTTTGCAGTCACTACAATGCTGCTGGGAATGTACTTCTCTCTCTGGTCTGCATTTAAACATCACAGTGTTCCCACGAAGGCCTGATGAGACTAGGGTGTTGGAGCGCTGTGCATTTTAGTGCCTTGCGTGGGTTCAGCCTGTTCATGTACCACTTGATGAGTCATCCTTCCAGGGTCATCGGGCTGGAGCTCAAGGGGAAGGCTGCTTGGTCCTCGGAGCTTTCAGGCACAGGGACAGACTGGCCCTGCCCTCCAGTGTCCCCAAGCAAAGCCATGGCCCTGTACTGAGGTTCTGTGCCCCTGTCAGGATGTGCCAGGATGACCCATGTGCTCCAGAGCAACCCCTCCTGCACGTGCAAGCCGTCTGCTTGTGTCTGCAACACTCACACCTGTGTCTCTCTTCTAGATCCTGCCTGGCCTGTACATCGGCAACTTCAAAGGTGAGTTCTTAATTACTGTGGTAAAATACAGAGGAGGCGGCATTTCCCGTCCTAGCCATGCTTAGGTGCATAGCTCAGTAACATCAGGGACAGCCACTGCGGCGTAAACATCACCGCCGCTCACTTCCAGAGCTCTCGCCTCTTCCCTCACTGAAAGCTGTGCTGATGAGCACCGCTCCTTAGTCCCTGCCCCAGCCCCTGCGACTGTGCATCACACAGTACTTGTCCTTGACCTGGGGTCCTCCGGACCCCTCTTCAAACTTCTGGAATGTTCCCATCACAGGACAGTGTGCAACAGGCACATCACCCAACCTGCGGCTCGTCTCATTCATCTGCCGCTTCTTGTACTTCTAGTGATATAAACTTTCAGAAACCTATGTTTTAGTTGCCTGGAAAACAGTTTTACCTCTGGTACACGCTTGCTTGCTGCGTGCCGCGTTACTGATCTCTGGCTAGTTGTTGACTCTGCTTTTCGCTCACCCCCAGAGCATGCTGGGTGGCGGGTGCCAGGCTCGTGCTTGGTCCCTGTGTGAACGACTTTCTGAGTCTGTAAGTGGGGCGCTGGCTTCTCCTGGAGGGAGGAGTTGTGGTGCCTACGACAAGCAGCGGGGCTGCTCACAACAAGTCCGCATGCCTCAGGGCTGGAAGGAGCCTTGCCTGGCACGCCCGGCCGGCTTGTCCAGCTCTCCTCCTTCCCCAGCAAGCTGGGACATGGGCAGAGTCTACACTGCCTCTGTCTGTTTCTGGCTGCGGGTGGCACTGGTGAGTTCACCTGCACTTCGACAGAGCAGACAGCCCTGGCCATTTTTCTGCCTGGATCGCAATTCCCTTGGTCGCCCACCCCATCCTGGGCCTCAGAGGGAGTTGTGCAGGCCCCTAGGCCACTAGGCACACCTAGGACATGTTAAGAGATAGCTCTGGAGTTCCTGCACAGGTGTGCTTGCTGGCTCCAGAAAGAGCTAATGCTTTGTGTTGTGCTGGCTAAGTGCTGCTGCCAGAGTTGATAACTAAATATTTTGAAAATTGTTTAGTAAGCTGTCATTACCTACTTTCGTGGGGTATGGGAACAGAGTTTAGGATAAATTCTTACAATTGCTAGGTATGTGTAAAAATTACTTTTTTTAAAATAAATGTCAACCATATTTAGTATTCTGCCAGCAGTGTAGATTTACCCCAACCCACAGAAAGCTACCTTCTTTTAGAATGACATGTGGTCACAGCATTGGGGAAACATTTAAAACTTTGGGACAAGCCCTGTACTTGTCTTCTAAGTTCTCAGCAGCATGGGAGTGCCTCCTGGGTCCTGGGGTTGTACTCTGGCTTCACCTGCCAGGGTTTTGCTCTGAGCAGCCCATCCCCGCCCCCTGCTCGGACTCTGGGTGCTTTATACTTGGCCTGAGGTATTTGGAGTTAGTCAGAGGTGCGGTTACTTGCTTTGATTCACTGTGTGCTAAGCCTCTGGGACAGGGCTTATCTAAATCAACAGCAAAGGGGCTGTGCACTGGCAAGGGGCTGTGAGCAGGGCCTCTGGGCCTCTGGGCCTCAGGCGCATGTCCTGGTGTCCTCCTCAGAAACTTTAGGGTTCAGAGACGAGAATGAGATGGCAAGGTGCAGTGAAGCAGGCCCAGGGGCTCCGCCAGAACCCTAGACACCCTGTGCCCGTGAGCCAGGCGAGTGCACGCAGGTGGGTTGCACAAGCTGGGCATGCAGGGGACTGTGGGGACAGTGACAGCATCACGGGCCACAGTGGTGCCCGGTGCACGATGGCCATGTTCTTAGCTCTGCTCTGGCTCCCAGCTGTGAAGTGGCTCCTGGTGGGCGTTGCATCCTGGGAAGCTGCTCTTTCTCCTGGCCCGTGGAGCCAGCAGTCACCTGTGCTGCAGCGGCACCTCACTCCAGCCTTGGGAGCGGAACAGCCCTCTGAGTGTCTGCGCTTGGTCTGGCCACATGTGAGGAGCACTGAAGCGCTGTCCCGCCCCCAGCACCTCCCTTCTTTTCTTCTTCCTCCCCTTGTACCCTCTTTCTTCACTGCAGATTTCTTCCACAGCAAACTGCAGCTTCCTTTAGTTTTCCGCCTTGGCAGCGAATCACGTGGCTTTCCAGCACCCGGCGATATCTCGCCACAAACAAGCCCAGCCTCTAGAGCCAGGTCTTCGCTGCACTGCTGAGCTTCTCAGGAGCAGCGCCCTGGATCCAGTGAGCAGCTACACCCAGATGTGTGGAGGGAAGGGTCATGGACGAGGACGAGCGGCCCTGTCTAGGCTGGAGCACGCACGGGCCCTACTGCTTCTGCACAGTTCAGGACTAGGGATAGGGAGCCAGCAGACGGGAGCCCTCGCCATGTAAGATCTTCACAGAAACCTTGAGTAGGAGTGCAGGAAGGAGCTCAGGCTCTGCCCACGTGGGGAGATCTCAGAGCTTTGGTGCGATGTCTGCTGATGAGATGGGCGTGCTGGCCACCATGTGGATGACAGCTGCTCGCGGGTCTGCTGTGGGCTGGACCTGGGGAGCTGGTGCTGCGCGTTGGGTGCTGGGTGGAGGGCAGCCAGGGCTGAGTGTCTTCCCAGGAAGTGTGGATTTGAAAACATTCAGAGGTGAGGCAAGCGGAGCCTATGCTTCCGCCTTGAGACTGCATCTGATTTCCATGATAAGAACGATCACGTTTCTGTTCCCTTTCTGTTGCTGTCACAAAATGCCTGAGGCCGAGTGTAAAGAGACTCACTTAATTCATGTTCTAGAGGACCTTGCATGACCTGAGCTCCTGGTAGGGACACGAGAAGGTCACCTGCAGAAGGGGCCCAGCACGTGAGGTGCTGCAGGCACATAGCTTGCTGTGGAGAGAACAGCCTCTCGCCACAGTGAGAGTTCATCTCCCAGAGGGCTGCATGCTGCGGCCTCACCGGCTTCCAGGGCTGCACCTTGAAGAACAAACCCCACACAAGCCACAGCACACACCCAGAGCTAGCACGGCACGCTCGCCCGGGTGCTCTGAGCATGTGCTGAAGGACACTGCTCGGGGCAGCACGTCGGGCTGGCTCTCTTATGTTGTCCCCATTTTGCAGGTGAGGAAAGTGAAGCTTAGAAACTTTTGCTGGGTTCAGCACCGTGTCACAGCCAGGAGGGTCCGGCGGGGAGGAGTCAGCTCCAACCCAGGCAGATTGGACCCCCTAGCGAGTACCTCAGAACTCTGGGCACTGTCATCATCTGCAGCCCCTATGTGATGCTGACAGCGTGGTCACGTGTTCAGTGGCAGGGAGAACTAGAAGCGAGGTTGACGCCTCCTGCCTGTTGGTGCTGACACTCTCGACTTGGGAGCAAGGGTGATGGGAAACGCTGGAATGCGGCCAGCTGGTGGGGGGCCGCCTACGGAGACAGCCTCTGCCCACTTTGCCCCTGCCCTCCTGCCTCTGAAGACCTGTGGGACAGAATGTCCCTGGAGGGCCCTCTTTTCTAGAGAAGTGTGTTGGCAGAACTCATTTTTAATGCTTGCTCCAGTAACCTTCAGTTAATTTTATTTGAGATGGTTCTGGGCTCTTGCCGAACCACTCATTTCCTGTGGCCACGCTGGCCTCCCTGTGCCGTAGGACCTGTGGCATCCACACACTGGTGAGCTTACTGCCTCCTTCCCAGGGATGGACATGACTGTCGCTTTGCTCTTTGAGGGCAGTGTCTTCTAAGGGAGCCATGCACTATCCCAGTGTCGAACAGGACTTTAGGGGGACGCTCGCTGTGTCACTGCCCCTGTGGAGGGCAGCCGGTAGGGTAAACTGAGGCAGCAGAGGGCACGAGTCCAGAGGCCAGGGGCAGAGTTGGCAGAGAGAGAAAAGTGTGGTCTGCAGTTACTAGCACAGCGCCGGCTGTCCTTTCTTCTTGGCTTTTCTGTCAGAGAACAGTAGACTTAAGGTGTTTTTCCTTGTTATAAAAGTCACATGGGCTCACCAGGAAGACAAACAGAACAACTCAATCATGGAAGAAATGCGTTAAAGAGAGTGCCTCTTCTGTGACCCTCATCCAGGATGCTCTTGGCTGGTAGCCTCACGCCTGGACCTAGAACCCTTCCCCTGTGAAGCCCAGCCTGTACCCTTTCCATTGTTCTCATTCACTCCGACTTTTGTCTCAGCACATGAGGCCCCTGAGTGGTTTTTAGGCTTGGCGTCCCGGTACCACTGGACAGGGTGCTGTTGGCACCACCAGGTCACGGTCACTAGGGCTGGGCCCTTTTCTTTGTACACAGGGTGCCCGTCACCCCAGGGGTTCTGACTGAAATGCGGGTTCTGGGCTGGGGCTGCGACCTGGACCTGCAAATGCAGCTCTGCCTGGTGTGCACAAGGCCATGTTCCCAGAGGGGTTGCCGGGTCTGGCTCCTCAGTGCTGCGGGGTGGGCTGGGATTCTGGGTGTGCGACGGGCCCCGCATGGTGCCCTGCTGTCCCTTGGAGCACCCCACACTGAGCACCGCTGGGCAGCGTTCTGTGCCCAGGACGAGCTGCCCTGAGCTGATGGGCTGTGGTGTGTGAGGGACATGCAGGGACTGGTGGCTCTCACCATAGTGCCCACCACTCGCCCCAGAGTGCTCAGCAGTTTGATGGCCGTTGAAATGAAAGGCAGGGTGGCCCTGTGCTCAGCGTGAAGCTGTGTGTGCTCGAGGCCGTGCATGGGGCCACCTACGCAGGCAGGGCAAGTCCACCCTGCATGGCGCAGCTGGCGCTGTGAGAAGAGGAAAAGCAGCGGTGCTGCCCACGCTCGCTTCCCTTTCCTCCTAGTCCAGCATCCTGTTGGTCTTGTGCGGAATCGAGTGGAGCGCTCACCCCAAACCACACATTACAAATCTTAACCTGTCGTGAAATTGTATCTGGGGAGTAAAGACGTGAGGGTAGACAGCGGTGCTGGCTGCACACATCTGAAGGGTCACACGCTGCAAGAGGGTCAGCTTCATGGCATGCGTGTGAATTAGTCCCAGGAAAGTCTTAAGGGGCAGCGAAGTGTCACTGTCACTCGGTATCCACTAGGCTGGCTGCAGGATCTCCCCTGGGTACCAAGCCCGACGCCTGCTCAGTCCCTCCTGTGGGGTTCCAGCATGGGCTCTGTGCATGTCCTCCTCCATTCTTTAAGTATTCTCTAGATTCTTTATATAGTTTACATTCTTATGTTTTAAATGTATCTCAGATTAAACTTTAAATCATCTCTAGATTATTTATAGGATCTAGGCTAGTTTGGCTATCTCTGTCCTGGCTTGGCTGGTCTGTATGGGGGGCTGTGGCAAGGAGCACATCAAGGTGGGAGTGTGTGGGAGAGGCTCGGCCTCCGGCAGCCGGGAAGCACGGGGCCTGGTGCCCTCCTCCCCACCAGGGCTCACCTGACTGGCCCGTACTGCTCACCAGGCCCCATTTCTTCTGAGTTTCTCCTGTCCCCAAGAGTGCCAAGCTGGGAATAGATCCTTTACCTCATAGACTCTTGGGGGACATTTCAGACCCGCACTGACCACCCAGTAATTGAAGCTCTTTAGCTGATTCTGTACCCAGAAGTGGCCCTCGGCCTGTGTGACGGCTGCTGCGTGCATCAGAGCCTGAGGCCTGCGGTGGTTGGAGCAGCCGGGGCAGCCTTCCAGAGAGGCTGGGAGGCCTTTTCTTGTTTTGGCGAATATTCAGCATAGTGTCCTTGAAATACCGCTCCATCCGCAAGGCTTGCTACAAGTGTAAATTCTTGGTTCCAGAGTAGACCTGGAACTGAACTGAAGCCCAGGAACTGACCTTCTAACCCCGCCGCCCCAAAGCGTGGTACTTGTGCATGTGGAGAGTACCAAAGCCACGGTGACTCCAGCTCTTCAGTCAGTGTGCCAGGTCCCGCGAGCGTTGGTCCTCGGTTTTTTTGCACAGCGAGTTTACGTTGTATTTATTATACAACGCAGTATTATACTCGCTGTTGTCCTCTGCTTAGCACTGACCCCTCAGCAGTCACTCAGCAGTCTCTGGTGACGTGGTAATAAAGTTCTTGACTGTCGGTCTTTTCCACCCTGTGTGGTCCGACCACGACCACGGGAGCGCCGAGCTCCCCCCTTCCCAGTGGGTCCCCGCATCATAGCCAGAGTCCCAGTCAGGACACCACATGCGCTGTCTTCCTTCTGCAGGGGGAAGCATCTCTGACCTCCCATGCTGATGATTTCAGAGCTGTCGCTGCCTGGTGGGATCCCGCCTGGGATTTCTGGGAAGGGTTGCACTTTCTTTTGCTGTGGAGTAACTATAGACATGGTCACGTGGTCCTGTCCAGACCTGTCCCTGCCCCCGTGCGTGACGTGATCAGGAAGTGCCGGGCGGGATCTTCTAGCTCCAGTAGTAAACAGATCTTTTGTTTTCAACTTCTATTATGAAGCAGTAAGAGGTAGCAGCATTTTTAAAGCTTTTTAGACATCTTTATTACTATTCATCTCATGTAAAAAAGACTGGCCCCAGCCCGATAGCTGGCGCACACCCTAAAACGGCCTCATGGTGTCGTTTCCTTTGAAAAGCAGCCGTCGTGATTCCAGCGTTGATTAATCCAAGTTCTGCTCAGTGCAGTGTACACGCCGCATCACAGTCGCAGCAAGCTGAAGTAAATGCAAAGTATAGAAAAGCAGCAGCTCTGTCCCGCGGTCTGCAGGCTCTGGGTGTGGCCGATCGTGTAGCTTCAGGGCGAGTTCTGCAAGCCATGTTGTCTTGTTTCCTGCCGAGACTTTGGGGGTAATTGCCTCACAGAGAATATTAAAATGTCCATCCCTGTCTCCGATGACAGATGCCAGAGATGTGGAACAGTTGAGCAAGAACAAGGTGACACACATTCTGTCTGTCCATGATAGTGCCAGGCCCATGTTGGAGGTAAGAGAGCCCTGGGGCGGGGGGTGGGTCTCTGCTCTGCAGGGTGCGTGTGACCTCCGCCAGGGCTGCCACATGCTCTGGACGTCAGTGCCCGCGACGGCTGTTGTGAGTGTTCGGACTCAGGCCGCTGTCCTGTCTGCACCACACCTGGAGCCGGGCACAGGCCTGCTCTTGTCCCAACTGCTCTCTGCTGCCCTGCTCACTTGGGCTGCCTGGCCAGCTGCAGAAGACTAAGCTGCTGTCTTATCCTCCTGGGTGTGAAGGATGCTGGGAAGCTCCTGTGAGGGCTGAGGGTGTAGCTTAGGGGTACAGCACTTGCCTAGCCTGTGCAGGGGCAGGGGTTCAAACCCAGCAGTGAAAAAGAGAAGAGGGAAAGACAGCAAGACCATTTTCATTTGGATTTAGGCTGCCACCTTCCCTGACTTCTCCACACAAGTTCTCGTCTCTGCCCTTGGCATCTGGGAGTAAATGCCAAGGGCAGGTAAAATACCTCTGGGGCTTCTCCAGGCGCCCCGGGACAGAGACCATCCACTTAGACGCTGTGGTTGTGTTTTTTTCAGGTTTTCAAGGTAAACAGGGTGTGTCTGCCTACACACTAATTCCAAAAACGTCTTCGGTGTCCCCTGATGGACGGTTGAGCCGTTGGCTAGCAGTGGAGTCTATTTCTGTCTCCTGCCCTTGACAGGGCAGGCTGCCTCCTTTTAGCAAACAGGGCACATGTGGTTGTGGCTCGTGCGTACTTTTCTGTAGGGAGGGTGCTGGGAAGGGAGGGGTGCCTCGTTGGGAAGGGAGTAACCCCCGTTCAAGCTGCTTGTGTTCAGGTGTGTGTTTGATTTAAAAAGCAAGAGGAGGTGATTTGTGCCTGGGGTGGGAGGTGCAGGGACTCGCACTTCCTCCTGTCTCGGGCTCGTTGTGTTTTGCTCAGGTCCTAGGATTTATGTTGCAGCATGATTGTAGAGGAAAGGATTAGAACATTCCTTTTTTAAAAAGCCCAACTGGGGACCAGGGAGGTGGCTCAGTGGAATAAGCAATAAGTGCTTCCCTGGCAAGCACAAGGGCCTGAGTTCAATCCCTGGTTCTGAAAATTTTTAAAAAAGCCCAACTGTTCCTTTGAAAATAGTTACTTCATTTTTCAAATCTGTTAATGATAGTTTGTATTTACGATGTAAGCAAGCTGTAGCCAAGTTGAACTGCAAAACTGGTCATGACTGACTTCCCCTAAAATCACAAGATGAGGCCTGAGGTTTCCTTTATTTTAATAAATTACATAGACAGCCCTTCCAGCCGACCCACCAAGCCTGCCTCATGGCTTTCTTCTCCGTTTAGTGGGGTCTGAATGTCTTCACAGCATGACCTCTGTCTACATGCAGGAGTGTGGAATGTTAGAAGTGAAGACAGTACCTGGCTGGCTCTCCGCTCCCTCCTCCCCCTGCACCAGGAAACGTGTGTAGTGTGTAGAGCAGATGAGATTGTAACCAGGCAGAGGCCACTGTTCGCTTTAAATCTCACCGCTGGGCACGCACTGTGCCCCAGATGTATTTTACTGTCGTTCCCTACATGTAGCTAACTTCTGCCTTGAAAAGGAGGGCTTGGGAAAAGGGAGGAAGAGAAGAAGAGTATGGGGTAGAGACGGACAGAAGAGAGAGAACAAGGGAAGGGAGGAAGAAGAAGGACAGGCTGGGAAGGACGGGACGGGAGCAGACTACCTGTGCCGGGCGGCCTTTGCTTGGGGACGGCCGTTCTACTTTTGGGGGCTGTTACTGCCTCTGCTTGGTAGTAGGCTTTCACTGGGATTCACTTCTTAAGAGTCGTTCCAACTTCATGGGGTAACATAGTTTAGTACGGCCTCTCCTTTCATTCCTTTTTAATTTCACGGGTAATTTATCAACAGATTCTTACAATTTTCTTTAAACAATAGCTTCTTTGACAGCATGTATGGGAAAAACAGAGGCACCAAAAGGTACAGTACTTGAGTTAATGCATCTGCAGTAATTAACTAACTGCAACCCCAAAAGTGTCCGGGTTTTGTGTAGTAGATTTTTATGTGAAAATTAAGTTCCAGAAGCCGTGACCTCACCCAGCTTGAAATGAGTCCAGGAAATTCTGCATGGAGTCAGGAGGGAATGAATGCATGAATTTGGTTATCCGTGAGCTCCATGCTGCACTGGCCTTTGTCCTTTTGGGGCAATAGAGATGGGGGTGAGAGGAAGACTGTGTGGGGTGCACAGGCTGAGCTGATCCCGACTGGTGAGGAGTTCATATTGAGGGTGGAGGGAGAGGGTGGAAAAGGACAGAGCAGGACCGCTTCTTTTGGAGCTCTTCAAAGCCAGGCCTGCTCATTGAAGGGCCCCCAAGTTGCTCTGGGTGGCTCTGATTTGATGTGGTGATACTGTCCAGAATTGAAGGATGTTAGCCCTGCTCCAAGAGAGCAGCAGCTCTGGGAGCCCTGCCGCGGGGAAGCCAGTAGTGAGCACCACGTTGCAGATGCTGCCTTGGGTCATCGCCAAGAGGCAGCTCAGTGGTCTTACTGTACTGAGGCACTTAGCATCGATTAGCAAGGGCTTCTGGGATCTTTCGGCCTGCTTTTATCGTGAGGGAGGCCAAATACGAGAGTGTAGTCATGTTGAATGTGGTTACTAGAATTGTGGGCAGAGATTGGGGGTTTGAGGATTCTCAGGGGCCAGGCCATTGAGCAGTGGGAATAGGTGATGATGCTTTGGAAAAACATAAGTTTAGGAACCTGAGCATACTGTAGACTCCTGGAAATCTACGTTGTGTCCAGGAATAAC